CATTTTTTACTAAATTTTTTATAATTATTATTAACAGAAAAAGTGGCTGCAAAATCGGCTGCAGAACTTTCCTTTGTTCGTATTACTAGTATTCTTTTCTAACTTTTCATTTCTTTTTATGTACGTATGTATGTTTTTAAATTATTAAATGTATATATTGAGAGTATATATTGAAACTTTAGACTACGTGAAGGCCGGAACAGTCTGTTTGGCGTGGCGCTAGACTCACGTTTTTGAGAACGTGAGTTCGAATCCAGATGTCCTGAAAACTCCCAGTGTAGTAAATGGTGACTAGTGCACGTTAAATCAGTCGGATCACACTGATACATAGTCTCAAAACATAGCACAAACAAAACACGCATATCCCACAATCAACCACGAACTGGCTCACAATGGCAACCAACGTGGTTGATCACCACACACGTCTCTCCACTGACCCTGCTCCTAGACACTGTGGACAAGCAGTGTGCCAGGAGCTTTTCAGCTACCCGTGATGGCCATTTATGTTGAATGCAAAAATAAAAAAAAATTAAAAAAATTAATAAAAAAAATTTTTTTTTAAAAATTAAAAAAAAAAAAAAAAAGAAAGGGAAAAAAATAATAATTACAAAAAAAACCTGTGACGTGACTACGTATTTTATATTGTACTGTTATTGTCGACATCCATCCCCTGAGTCTGTAATGTAACGCTGCTAGTTAATCAATGTAAAATTAAATTGTCGCTACTAGGCCGGGATAGCCTGGCCAGTGGGGTGCCGGGCCCATGTCGAAGAGTTCGTGGGTTCGGTCCCCGCCGGTAAAAGACTCCCCGTGTAGTAAATGTTGACTGATGCACGTTAAATCTGTCTAGTCTCAAGGTCCTCCATGTTCCCATAACAAATCAATACCTCTGGGGGTACCGATCCAGGAGTTTCCTTGTCTTCCGGATTGGTTCAAAATTACAAGGCTACGGCGTAGAACATTAGTAGTCGTAAATCCAAAAATTGGGTCGGCTGCTCAACGGCGGTCATAAAAAAAATTATAAAAAATCAGTCGGATCACAAAGTTCTCTGTGTTCCCATAACAAATTATACCACGGAGGTACTGAATTGGAGATTGATCGTTCCTTGGTTCAGGTGAAAATTACGATCTGTGAATGAATGAATGGATGTATGAATGGATACAACCTATAAATGTGTGTGACGTATGGGTGTGGCAGAAGTCGAATTCTTGGCCATAGATGACGCCACTGAAAAACAAAAACAAGAGTAATACCACCCATTTCCTTAATGGCTTACAACAACTACGTTCTAGTTCTCGATGCAATTCTTGTTGCCAACACCAAAGTAGGAATATTAAAGAAAACACTTTCTTGAAGTGGGAAGTTGCCTAAGCCTTACCTTACCTGAATCTTACCACCTTTAATTTGTAAATAACAGATTGCACTAGCTAATAAATTAAGAAACTTTTCTTGACGTGGAGATGCATTCTAAGACTCAAGTCTCCGTGTGCTTGCGTTGAATTTTTATTTAAATTAATCTGCTTTTCAAGTTTTTAATATACTTTTTAAGCATCCTGTGTAAGCATATATCAGAGATAAAATATTGTACGAATGCAACTTATTCTGTTATGTTCTACTCTTTTCTTTGTCAGCTAAATATTGTTTGAGGCTTGGAATAACATTTTGTTTAAAACGCCTCGTAGTTGCCTTAAATCATACCTCATGTACAGACCTAAATCGTACATATAAGATTTAGGAGCAACGTATCAACTTCAGATACTGAACTGGTCGATTTTCAGCCATTTTAGCTGTACTACACCCAAACTGCTTAAAAGTGTTTCAAAACCATCTCCGGACTAACTAAATTTCTCATCTTGTGATTGAGATTTATATTGAGACAGTAACAAGTGAGAACTCTGTTTAAAATTATTTAACAATTTTGGGTGTCAATCTTTAATTAGACTGTTTTTATTTATTTTTCTTTAATTTTTTATAATTTAGCATAAAAAAGCATCAATTTATACGTGAATCAATCGGTGGGAAAACTATTCCAATAAATTCAATTAGATCCTTATAATATATCCTTATTCAATCCAACATCCTCGTAAAAAGATTAATTTTTCTTATTCATTGTTCGGAAAGTAAATTCGTTTTTTCCCAACAGAGGACTTAAATGTATTTTTTTCACAAGCAATTTTATTTTTAAGCCACATAATCATTATGTATTGTGACAGCTGCTTTAGCAAAGCTTGCTTGTGAAGAAGTTTAAGTGATTCAACCCATTAGTTTCTGGTTGATGTCTTTGAAAATATAGAAAGTGCAACGCTGTACTTTTGGCACATTTTATTTTTTTACTATTAAAAAAGTAAAAATGCTGTTTAAGCAAGAAACGAAATTATCCGATATGTGTGTAGTGGATGCAATATGCCAATGCCGAATCCGGTTTGCAGAATTTCGATCTGGCAATTTTGACGTTAAACATGCACTACGTTCTAAAAGGCCAGTTGAAGCTAATAAATACACAATAAAAACAGTAACTGATGCTGACCAGCGAATAACAACTAGTGGGATCACTGAGAGATTAAAGTTATAGAATTTTTTTATTATTATTTTATAGCCGTCGTTGAACAGCCAACCCAATTTTTGAGTTTACTACTGCAAATGATTAACTACGTAGCCTTGTAATTTTGAACCCTATCCAGAAGACAAGGGAACTTTTGGTTCAAGTATTGGGGGAAATTTGCCTTTATGGAGGAGTTTCTGATTAAACTAACTCGCACTTGAGTAACATGGAGAGGAAGGTCACGAGAACCTCACACGGTTAGCCTGACGGTAAGGGCACTCTAATCCATGATCCGTCTACCACTGAGGATATTTCACGTCAGCACTGTGGTCAGGGCAAGCCGGAGGCGGATTTCCGTATCGACTAGCCATCGCTAGGATTCAACCCCGGTTGACTTCATTGGAAGGCAAACGCTTTATCCATTGTGATATCGCAGCTCATGGAATTCAACCATTCATGATCATTTGAAACTCCTGGGTTTAACCTCAAAACTCGCAGTATGGGTTTCTCATGTTCTTAAAAAAGGAAATTCCTGCCTTCCAGTCGATTTACTTCTACAACGTCAAGAAGAAGATTCATTTTTTAAGCGCATCATCACTGGAGACGAAAAAGAGGTTGTGTACAACAATGTTAAATGCAGGAGATCATGGAGTAAAAATGGTGAACCGACTCGAAGCAAAAGATATCATAAATCCCTTACCAAAGTAGGAACCAACAGCAGTTGATCTTACCAAAGTAGGAATATTAACTTACACATTCTTGTAAGCTTTTTTATTTTTCTTAAATTAGCATTTTGTACTTAACTTTGTATTTTTGATATGCCGACTCGCAAATTATAAACTGGTTTTCTGGAGTTCATTTAAAAACTGTAGACAACAATATTTCTCACAATTCCCAAGTCTTATCTACACCAAAGTATAAAGATCAAATTGCACATTCTTGTTCTCTTTTTTAAAAATAAACATTAGTTTTAAAGTTAAATGAATTTTTAAGATTTGAGAATTGTTAGTTTAACAATCAGCTTTACATTTGAAACGATTAGTAAAAGAACTTTCCAAGTTATAAAAAAGAATTTCAGGCTCTCAAGTTTCCAAATTTAAAACAATTTTTGTTCGACTGTTAACCAAAGAACTTTATTAATGAAAAATAATCACTAAATAAAGCGGGTTTTTTTAAGTAATAGAGGATTCTTAATTTCATTTATTTCCTGATATATCCATACATTAATACACTGAGATTTTTTCAAACGCCTTAATCAGTCATTTAACTTGTCTTCCCTCACAGCTCTTCTTATATGTTTGCTGATTTTAAAAGCTGTTTGTTATTATTCAAATACAGCCGATCACTGATCTAGTGGTTTTGTACTGGACAACGAGTCAGTGGTTATGGGTTCAAATCCCACGGTTGGCATGGATGTAACATTTTCTGTGTGTGTGTTCTATGTTCTTTATTCTTAGTGATTGTGTGAATGTAATCCGTCCTATAAACGGGTTTGTGGTTGTATGACGTTTGCGAAGCCAATGGGAAATAGACCCAAGTGCTCGTCATTAAAAAAATTATTCAAAGGCATCTAGTATATACTGGATTACAAGCACCAATCACCATGTTATAGTTCTGCTAAAAGGAGTTATATAAACATAAGTAAGATGCTTTCAAAAATTTACAAAAATTAAAACAATGCACTGAACATCCAAGTTTTACCCTGCATACTACGAGTATATTGCAAGATTAGAATTATTTTCCACAAATTCAAATTAGAAGTGATGTTTTTTTTTCCTTATTTGGGAGGAACTTACTTAAATTGGATATTTAATTTTTCTATGTTACTGATGAATATACACTGTGAGAATTTTCATTCTAAAATTACGGTAAAATAACCGGGATCATTTTGTCCATCCAATTAACTGTAATGTTTACAGTTTGGATCATTTCTTACCTTTGCAGTTTTGAAACCATTAACAACTGGTGTGGATAACAAATCATAAGAATAAAGTTTAACCAAACATAGGATTTAAAGTTATGCTAGACTTTTCGTTAGGTAATGAACATTGGTGTTAAGTTGTGGTTTAGTTCTGTTTTTCCGATTCTGTAGAGTGCGGCTTAATTAGTTTTTGTGGTTGTACCATCTATCGGGAGAATAAAGAAATGCTAGACTTTTTTGTTTTAAGCAATTCTATTTATAGATTAGAGTAAGTACCCACTGCAAGAATTTAAGTAGTTTCATATTGTGGGCCGAGTTGGCATGGATAAAATTGTGGTTGTTAAACCGTAGTAGGTGAAAATAGTCAATAACCGATTTTTCCCACAGTTAATAGTTTGAATAACATCTTTTTTACGGTTATTTAACTGCTTTGATTGAATATGGTTAAATAACAATTAAGTAAATTGTTGTTTAGCCATTTTTTTCAGGAAATATCTATGAGTGCAAAAAACACATGAATTAAATTAACACAAAAATATGTATTTAAAATTTTTATTCACACCACTTCATTCTATAATAAAACAAATCACATTTTCCCGCATGCTACCATGGATAAATAAATAAATAAATAACAATGACTGATATAACAAAGCAAGCTGTATCTGCCATCCAGAATACCGTAACTCAGTTTATAATGAATATATATGCATAAATCGAAAGCTATCACAATTACCTTTGAGCATCATAAGGAAACAAAAAAGAAAACAAATACTATGCATTTTACAAGAAAGATTTTGGTTTCTTTGTTTTTTTAGTAAATTATTTAAAAAATCGAAAAAAATTATATTTTTATCACTTTATTTTTTCTTATATTCATAGTTTTTATATTTGTATATTTTTCGTGTATGGATTTTTTTTTCGTAAAACACGTGACTGCTTTAATGAAATAAATCTTTAAGTTAAATGAAATCTACCTCTGAAAAATCCTTTTGCTGGAAACAAATTACATTCTAAAACTAGAATTGTACCCAGAGTATTCATTTATACAAAACCACTCAGCTTTTATATTTAAGTGCTTTTGTCATATATTTATGAAACTCTCTCTAACTTTTGACAAAGATTGAACCATTTGTTCTCAAACATAGGTTCTTTGGCTTTAAATAATGAAAGACATTTGGCGCATTACATTTAAAGGAAAGTTTGCATTCCTCTTCTTAGGATATTCAATGGAGATCAAAGCTTTCCAAATCAAAACCATGACCATGGTGTCCATGACTAATGTGGTGTAAGTGCTTGTGTCCATGGTGGTGTCCGTGTTGGTGACCATGCTTATGTCCGTGCTCGTGACCGTGTTTGTGACCATGGTGGTGTCCGTGATGATGTCCGTGCTTGTGACCATGGTGGTGTCCGTGCTTGTGTCCGTGTTCATGTCCGTGTTTGTGTCCGTGCTCATGTCCATGATGATGTCCATGATGGTGACCATGGTGATGTCCGTGCTTGTGTCCGTGCTCATGTCCATGTTTGTGGGCATGGTGATGTCCATGGTGGTGTCCGTGCTTGTGACCGTGTTCATGACCGTGCTTATGACCGTGTTCGTGACCGTGTTTGTGGGCATGGTGATGACCATGATGATGTCCGTGCTTGTGACCATGTTCATGTCCGTGTTTGTGAGCATGATGATGTCCATGGTGGTGACCGTGCTCGTGTCCGTGTTTGTGACCATGTTCATGTCCGTGTTTGTGAGCATGATGGTGACCATGTTTATGGCCATGCTCGTGCTTGTGTGCGTGACCATGTTTATGCTCATGACCGTGTTTATGATGATGACCATGCTTGTGTTCATGTCCGTGCTTGTGATCATGGCCGTGTTTGTGCTCGTGTCCATGATGATGATGGTGACCATGCTTGTGTTCATGACCATGATGATGATTATGACCATGTTTGTGTCCGTGCTCATGCTTGTGCAAATGGCCGTGTTTATGTCCGTGTTCATGTTTATGTCCATGTTCATGTTTGTGGTCATGTCCATGCTTGTGTCCATGCTTATGATCATGCTTGTGTGCATGTCCATGCTTGTGTTCATGTCCGTGAGTGTGATGATGATGGTGATGGTGATGATGATGATGTTCTGACTTATCTTTTACAACAATAACTTGTTTGCCTTCATGCCTTTAATGAAAATAAAAAAAAGTTACTTAACGAAACGTAATTTAATAACAAAATATGTTTTACAATGTGCTACATCCTTTTTTCAAAATTATTTTTACAAACGTAGTTTTATTATCTGAAAGAACTTCTGAAATTCAGAAAATAAAAAATTTTCAATTTTTTATTTTCAAATCTTTTAATATTTAATTATTTGTCACCTGAATTTAGGAATACAATAATGTAATTATATGAAATTTAATTAGATAAAAGGCTTAAGTATAAATTGCAAAAAAAAAACGAGATATCATGCACCTTCTTTTATTTAACACTTAAAAGTATTTGAGTATAGTATGTCGATTTGAGGAATTAATTAGATAATAGGAAATAATTTTAAAAAAAGATTTTTCCAAAATCTGAAGAGGAATTCTACTTGTTTAAGACATCCCAAAAAAAAATCAAAGAAGAAATTAAATATTTGCTTCTACCGATCTTTTAAAACTGTATATTTCCAGTAAATTTTTGCAAAATTATAAATGTTTGCCAAAAAAAAAAGAACCCCAGAAGTATATTGTAAATGAAAATTAATTAAATGAATAAATGACAATTAATTGATTAACATTAATTAAATAAAGAATAAATATCTCTAAGATTTCCGATTGTTTACCTCTTTATTACTAATCTTATTAAAAAATTAGAAATTGTATAGAATTTTTAAGACAAGCAATTCTACTAAATGTATTATTTTCTGAATCTATTTATAAAGTTTCGTAAATATTTTTTTAAATACGCATAAGAAATTAAAAAAACATCTATTTACAAAAATCAGAAAAAGGAAATCTATTTGGAGTAAGGAATTTTACAAAATATGCATTTTCTAGACGTTTAATAGATTTTATAAATATTTGCAAAAATGAGTTTGTGGTACATAAAAATAATAAATAATGCAATGTACTTAAAACGATAATAAAGATATAGCCTATACTTACTCTGATGGTTCTGGCTCTGGTTCAGCTGTGACAAAGCAAACAGCAATCATCAAGACCAAACACAAGGTCTTGATGCAAAACTTCATCTAAAAAAAATAAACATACAGTCTTAAAATAAAGTATAGTTTTACCATTAAGAATTTATAACTGACAAACTATAAAAGGAACCTTAGTTGTTATTATTACAGACTATAACTATCCATAACAACTTAAACATTGTTTTCAATAATATCACTTCTATCAACTAATTACATTATTTAGATTAAAACATTGCTAAGAAAAATTTCTATCTCATATTACTCTCAAATGAAATTCCTCAGTAACTTTATGGAAACTATGAGAAGAATCTTGGTTTTTTAAAAACTGTTATGCTACATAGAAAAGTCGTTAAAATAGGGGCATATTACTTCCATATCTGGTGCTAACCATATCCATATCGCATATCTGGCGATATTTGCTCAAGCGAAAAATTATCTTGTGCCTAGCCTAGTTTTTGTTTAATACTTACTATAAATTAATTTTTCATTCAAAACTTAGTTCATAAATTATTTATAATTTATTGTTTTAACTTAATTAAATAAATGTTACTCTAGCAATTTCTCAACTATGTATTTTTCATTAAATATTTCGTTGTGTTTTTAGTGTTATTTTTTCTTAACTTTTAATGTTTTCAATATTATCAACAAAGAATTTTTATCCTATCTATGTTTGTAAATACATTATTCATTTTACTTCTTTTTTCGTTTTTGAATACTATTACATCCCTTTTGAAAATGTAACATTCACGAAGTGCGCAATATCATATAAATATTTTAAAATTTGCTCTAGTGAATTCAAACTTTCATTTTCAATGATCGTTCAACAGCTAGTACTTCGGGCTATTTGCAAAGCGCTTACATCGAATAGAACTGAACCTCAAAACAATTTCTTTTAACCCATGATCTATCATAACTTACAGCCATAGACTGAAATCGGAAATAAACAAAAAAGAAATATGGGATGCGCGTAACAGAAACATCAAATCAGAACCGGACCAATCCGGTTTCTTTGGAGAGTGTATGTGATCAGAGAGTAAATAAACACTTTACTGAAACGATAACCGATTCAAAGTTATTGCAGACTTTTTCCATTCCATTTAAATTTTCTCCTGTGTTTCCTGTGAGAGTTATTATATAACGTGAAGTAAATTCCAAGAAAGGGATTTTAAATGAAACTTAAATATGATTTATTAAGGATTTAACTGAATTTTTTCGGAACAGCCAGAAGCATTGGTTACCGTATTTGAATGAAAAGAGCTTAAATTGATTTTTTAAGAAATAGAAAACTCCAGTATTTCTTCAGTAAGAAATAAAAATTTAACTTTTTACAACAAATAAATTATAAAAATAAATAATAAATTTAAAGTAGTTATAATTATTAATTTTTAATTGCATAGCTAGTTCTAAATTAAATAACAAATAAAAGGATTTGATATTATAATATTAAACTTTAATCTTTTGAAATCGTAACATGCATATGTTGCATTGTTATTTTAATTTCTCTTACGGTTTTACCAATTAATAATTTTAATTGAAATACTTCCTTTTAGTTTTTTTCTAAATTATTATTTTCTTTTTATTGACTTAAAGTATCTAAACATTAATATTAGGATTAGTTCATTTCTGCAATTATTATTCGTGTTTTTTCATATTAATTTATAGAATTTTAAAGAATAATTTTTGCATTCAATCAGTTCGATTCAAACTAGCAAAAATATTTGAACAACAATTTTTCCGATTCTATGCATTTTGAAATTTTAAACCCTCTCTTTTAGAAAATATTCGAAAGTAGCAAACTGAATTATTATTCTTAAAAATATGGGAATTATAAATTTTAATTAAAGAATTAAAAGATTTAAGTGTTTAAAAATTACGAGTAAATTACAATTTTAAAAAAAAAAACAGTTAAACGTTTTCAAGAGCTACAAAATGATACATTTCTCAACTAGTTTTATAAAAACGAAAGTTTCCTATTAAAATAAATTTTAACGCAACCTTTGTTTTGTATTTTTTTTAAATTTTTAATTACTTTATTTTCCTATCTTTAACAATCAGTTTTAAGATTGTAATATTTTATATACATGTCTAAAATAAACGCCGATAAAAATATTAGCCTAAGTAAATCAACATCTCTTTTTAAAATTCACATTTCTTTAATTTAAACAATGTTTTGATGACATGCAAAACTTTTACTTTCACTTTCACTGATTGATTCCAATTTAGAACGTCAAATTTTTCCGCACCAATACTTCACATTAATATTCATGCATTCCCAAAAGCAAACAAGCTTAATGAAAAGCTTCAATGAGTCCAACGAAGCGTTAAGTGGAGAAAAAAAGCGAAAGTTTCCGTTTTCTGACATAACAGTTTCTCTACGATGATTATTAAGCCTGTGCATACAAACATATTATCTATAACCTGAGGAAGTTTTAGAAAAGGATTGGGAGAGTGCTTATAACAGGTGACGGAAATATTGATGTTGTTTTTACCTTTTTGTTGTTGTTACAACTATTAAAATTTCACTTTCTTCCTTTATGGAGTTACGGAGATTAAATTATAAGGATTAAATAATTTCTTTTTCATTTCCTCAGAACTAATGTGATAGGAAAAATTTATTGTTTGTGCCTGTTCTATTCTGTGAGAATGCACAACATTATTATGAATAATAATATAATAATAGACATCGTTGTAGGTATTTTTATTCGAGTAAATAATACGGCTACCGAATAAAATTACTATGCATAACGTTTTTTCATTGGAAAATTAATAATTTATTTAACAGCAAATGTTTGATTTTTTTTCCTTTATGTAATAAATAAAACAGAAAGTCGTAAAAAATTATTTATGGAAATAAAATATAGTAAAATTATTTTCAAATTTGTATAACTAGTTTTTTAGAGGAAACACAAAAACTATGTTATTCTGATACACTGAAACTATGTTTTTTGATACACAGAAACTATGTTTTTTATGTTACTTATTATTTATACTTTTTCCATTTTATGAACACACATAACTATATTATGAATAATAATGTAATGATAGATGTCATTGTGTGCATTTTTGTTCGAGTAAATAGTAATACTACCGAATAAGATTACTATGGTTATAATATTTCTATTGTAAGATTAATCACTATAATTTATTTAACCCCATATGTTGGATTAAATTTACTTCCTTAAAATAAAAACAAAAGCAATGTCATAAAAAGCTACTTTTAGAAATGAAATATATTAAAATTATTTTCAAATTTTTAAAACTAATTTTTTTAGAGAAAACACGAAAACTATGTTTTTCTGCTGCACAAAAGCAAAAGCTATGTTTTTGTAGATTAGCTGAGTTGCTATTTTATAAATTTTATTTAAAGAACATAAATTATTTTGCTAGAAATTTGATATTTTACTACTGCATTTAAAAAAAAATTATTAATTTGTAATCAGTTTATAATTTCTCAGTTTCGAAAATAGGAGTGAACTTATCACAAAAAAAAAATTCTTCGAATCCATTTATATGTAAATAAACATTTTTTTCATTATTATTGAAAAATTTAAAATAAAATTTCCTTATTTTATCTAATAGGAAAAGGTTATTTCACTTCTTTGAAAAAAGAAACATTGTTGTGTATTCCATTAAATGTAACGTACCATTTGTAAATAATTAAGCTGAAGTAAATAAATGAGCGAAAAGTTTAACTGTAACAAATAATAGTAACAATAGTAACGAGTAGAATAGTTATAGAATAGTAACAAAAGTAACAAATTATATTTTCGATAGTAAAGCTAATATCTAATTACTTTACCACTACTTTCAAAATGCAAATATTTCTTGCCCGGAGATTAATTAGATTACTGAGATTTATGAAATATTATTATACATTTGCCAGATGATCTTATAATATTTAATTTATATTAACAAATAATCAAATATATTCTACACATTTTATAGCTTACTAACTAAGGATGGAGAGATAAATATAAATGCATCTTATTAATGATATTTTTAAAATAATTATAAATAACTCAATGTTATGTCAATAATAAAATTCTTGCCTTATGTTTGTTAGCTTTAAATTTTACGTTTTATCCCTGTTACTCGAATACTGGAATTATTTTAATAAGCATCAGGTTTACTTTTTTCTATTATTATGTAAGTCTATGATTATGTAATAAATAATAATGTTTTAAAAATGTTATTTTAGTATACGAAGCCTATGTTATGATTCATTTAAGGTATAACTGCACTTTTAAAATATTTATAATTGCACTCTAATTTCATCTTTTAAAGTATATATCATAGATATAGCGTAGAATATCATATACCAGTTAATATGCAATAAGTAACAATGGAAAATGTCAGTTTAAAATGTACAATTTGAATTTTAAGCATGTATGTAAATATTTTCTCATATTATATTAAATAACAAGCTAAAAACATATAGTTGAATAAAATATGCATGCACGTATAACTGTTTTTAAATATTTATATGCAAATGTTTTGGCGGTGACATATGATATGAATCCTATTTTTTACAAAAAAAATTCTAAAATTGTTGAAATTTTATCTTGGCATTGTACATTTCCTTTTAATGTATGCATATTTTTATTAAATTTTTTAGCATGAAAAAAACTGAAAATTATTAGTATATGTTCTTACAACATCAAATGTAAAAAAATAGTTTATTGTTTTTATGAGTGAGTCAAATGTTTATTCAGTTACTAAAATTTTTACAAGTACGAATTGAACTTATTAAGAATTTTTGATGTACAAAAGTTATATTTAATTTATTAGGAGAATTATTGTATTGAAAGTTATGAGAATTTTTTTAAAAAATAGAGGTATTAAGAAAATTAGAAGCAAAACGGTCTTTTATCATTTTATTGTATCAAATTGAAAAACGAACTGAATTATTTTTCTGACATAATAATACAATAGGAGAATAATAAAGTTTAAATTGGTTAAGCTATCATGCATCTGTTAGAACATATGCAAATGTAATGATAGAAATAATTCAATGATTTACATATTTGAAGATTAAAATATTCAATGATTTAAATTTTCTAAGATTTAAATATTCAATGATTTACACGTACAATTCAATTTATTAAGAATTTGTAATACTTAAAAATTGAATTTAAGATTAACTCTTTTTTTAAAAAAACTATTAAGAAATTTTGCAAGCAAAAAACTTTTTTCATAATTTTGTTCTGAAAATATTTTTTATATTAAATTGAAAAATTAATTGAATTATTTTTTTCTGATATAAAATTGCAATAAATACGATATTTTAATAAAATTTTAATTTGTTTATTTATGATGCACATGTTTGAAAAATATACAACTGTAATGAATTTGAAAGATTTCAAAACTTCGTAAATGTTGCAAAAAAAAAACTTCAAAATTATAAAATTTTTCATTTTCATAATAAATTTTAAAATCATAACATATAAACATTAAATATTAAATTATGGATAATTTTGCAACTATATCTTTTGAGAAAATCTGAACTTTTAAGAACGTTTGAAATTTTTTAAACTTGGTAAACTTTTTCACAAGTTTTGAATAAATATAAACCTACCTTGCTATGAATAAAAACCAGACACCAGCACTCAGAAAAAACTGAAATCACTGTTTAGAGAAGTTGAAGAGAAATGATATCGTTCTAAGAACAGAATGAGCTTTATATACCTGTGTCCGAAATTAAGAAACCCACCGCCAAGATCAGAAGTTTTAGAAACAGAACAAAACTTCCTGTAAAACAGCGAATTATGTGGTGCATGACACAGGCTAAGCTTTAAGAGACTTCCTGCGGCCGAATATTTCGGGGTCGCGAATCAATCCGCTGTGGAGAGTGGTACCTATGCACACATATGGTGTCAAATTTGTTTAATTTTTTTTTTAAATTGTAGAGAATTCTAAACAAAGTTGACATACCTAAGAATCTTAATCAATCTTTAATTGGTCATGACCTCCATAATAGAATTAGACATTTACGGAGTTAAGTAGGATTCTTATAAGTTTACAATAACAAAAACTGTGTTATGAAAGATTTGTTTTATTTATTTATTTATTTGCTTCTTTGTTTATTTATTTATTTATTCATTTATTTATTTATTTATTGTTAAATTGTGAAGTTTCGCTCCCTGTTCGACTGGCTCACCATCCCCTGTTGTTGCTTCATATTCGTGGCTGTGTCAATATTTTAATATACAGAGAATACTAAACAAAGTTGACATACCTAAGAATCTTAATTAATCTTTAATTGATCATGACCTGCATATTGAAATTAGACATACACTGAGTTAAATAGAATTCATATAAGTATACAATAATATGAACTGTGTAGATAAAAAAAAATTGTGGTTTTTAAATTATTTTTTGTTGTTGTTGTTATCCTATGAAGTTTCGCTCCCTGCTCGATCGGCTCACCATCCCCTGTTGTTGTTTCCTCTTCGTGGTAGTGTCAATACTTTAATATTGTAGAGATTACTAAACAAAGTTGACATATCTAGGAATCTTAACTAATTTTTAATTGAAGATGACCTCCATATTGGAATTAGACATTCACTGAGTTAAAAAGGATTCATATAAGTATACAATAATATTAACTGTGTTGATGAAAAAGATTTTGTGGTTTTTAATTTTATTATATTTTTCCTATGAAGTTTCGCTCCCTGCTCGATCGGCTCACCATCCCCTGTTGTTGTCTCCTCTTCGTGGTTGTGTCAATATTTTAATATTGTAGAGAATACTAAACGAAGTTGACATACCTAGGAATCTTAACTGATCTTTAATTGATGATGATCTTTAATTATTGATCTTTAATTGATTTACCATCCTCCGTTGTTGCTTCTACTTCGTGGTAATGTCAAATTTGTTTAAAATTATTATTGTATTATTGTAGAGAATTATTATTATAATTCTGAACAAAGTTGACTTAATCTTAATCAATCTTCAATTGAATATAACCTCCATAGTACAATTAGACGTTGGTGGAGTTATATATGATTCATATAAGTTTTCAAAAATAAACACTGAAGTGATGAAAAGTTTTTGTGGTTGTTTAAACATTTTCTTTGTTAAGTTAGGTCTCTCTACCTGTTTGTTTTGCTCGCCAACCCCAAAATAGTTGATTCTCTTTTATCATAATATTTTTCCTTGAAAATCGATGAAAAAATATAATTTTGTTTATAAAGTAAATAATTTTAAATATATCTAAAACATTTATAAACATTATAAGTTTTTACGATAGCTTAAGAAAAATGCATTTGAATACAAACTTGCAGTTGCATTCCTGAGGCCCGTACCCATATGGGGCGAATATGCTATTTTTTTCCGCTTGTTTAACAATTATGAAAATTTATATACGAATGTTTTTACAATATATTAAAGAAAATTTATTTGAATACAACCATATTTTTTGAAATGTTGAGAATTTACTGTATTAATATATAGAAATACAATTAAAATATCTTTTATGATGCATAAAAACTTTTGAGTTCATACATAAAAGTTCAGTTCATACATAAAAACTTTTGAGATAGCTTACAGAAAATTTACTGGAACTTACAATATTTTTATTAATGTTGAGTATTGAAATGTGCTAATATAACTACAGTTAAAAAAAATTTACAAGATAATTTATCGATATAAACATATTTTCATCTAACTTAATTTTCATAAATATTTCGATTTTAAACGTTTTGATACGAGCAAAAATAATTGAAATATTTAACACGAAAATTTATTAAAAAGCGTTTGAAACATAGTATCAGAAAAATCTATACTTACAGCTTATGTGTTGTATTTGGAAGCAGATTAAAATGTTTCACAAGTAAATTTTACCTATATAAAACCTTTTGAGTGAAATTAAGAAAATTACCTTTGAATATACTTTTATTTTTGTATATGTGTAGTGTATTGAAATGTAGTAATACTTATAAAAGTAATATCTAAAATAGTAATGCCTAAAAATCCTTTATACCTCAAGTAAAATTCGGAATAACTCCCTTCATTCCCGTTGGTTTAAATTTAAAAAAACTATGTGATTAATTGTTTATTAATATTATAAACAACAAAAGAAGTTCTTTTTGCTTAAGAAAACCTGTATTCTAAAGAAATTTAAAAATTATTTTCCCTCTGTTAAAAAAAGGGTATTGTATTAATTCAAATAATGAAACTTAGTTTTTCAATTATAAAGCATAAATGTCAAACATTAAAGCCTATGTTTCAAACTGTGAGCATACATTTCAAATTATAAAAATAACTAGGAGGCTTCGCCCCCTGCTCGCTTTCGCTCGCCAACACGCGGAACTGCTTTCGCGGTTCATTTCAAATTGCTTCGCAATCCGATGCTCGCTTTGCTCGCTCATTGGAGACGTTCTTAGCGTCTAGCTTTTGTAAACTTTTTTGAACACTGAAGTTCCGAAAACTTTTCACTGTAGAAAATTCTAAACCTGTGCATNCTATGTTTCAAACTGTGAGCATACATTTCAAATTATAAAAATAATATTTCAAACTATAAAGCATACATTTGAATAAATAAAACCTGTATTGCAAATTAGAACGCACGTGATTAAAATTGTAAAATATATAATTTTAATAATGAAGCAGATATTTCAAATTACAAATCATGAACTTCAAATTTCAAAATTTTATATAATTTAAATAAAAGGTGATAAGAATGACATGTGAGAACATGTTATTCATAGGAAAATGAAAACGAAACTAATATTTTTATATATTATTATAATGATGATATCAAGGGTATAAAAATAATTCCTAAGTATACATTTAAAACCGCACGTAAAATACTAACTGACAAAAATATTTATAGATTATGAAAATCAAAAAAAGTTGTATTGTGCGCATAAATAATTATTATAGAAACCAACATGCAGTAAAATTATAAAAATTAAGAAAAGTTATATTTTATGCAAAAATAATTATGGAAACAAACGTGTAGTAAGATTATGAAAGTCAAGAAAGACTGTGTTATACGTATAAAAAGTTATCATAGACACAAAGTTGTAATAAAATTATGAAAATTGCGAAAGATTAATTATCGAAGAAACAAACGCGTAGTAAGATTATTAAAAACAAGAAAGGTTGTATTACACATATAAATAATTATTATAGAAACAAACGTGTAGTCAAATTATGAAAATTGAGAAAGGTTGTATTAAGCGTATAAATAATTATCGTAGAAACAAACGTGAAGTAAGATTATGAAAAACAAGAAAGGTTATATTATAAGTATAAATAATTATTATAGAAACAAACGTGTAGTAAGATTATGAAAATAAAGAATGGTTGTTTTTCGTATAAGTAATTATTATAGAAACAAACGTCTAGTAGTCGCCCATGCAAAAAATATTTCAGTTTTAGATTTTATGCAAAATGCCCCTTTTGAAATGGGAGAGTTTTATTGTACGAAAAACACAGATTTCGAATCCTCTTTTGCGAAATAACGATTCCATATTCTAAACAAGTAGTTTTTTCTAACAGCCTGAAGCTAAAGATGAAACGATGGGCCATATTTTTTCTCAAAAAGGAAATAAATAAAAACATACTTTTCTACACGCATCCAAAATAGGTGTTGGAATAAAATTTCAAAAAAATCTTGTGTTTATTTTCTGTGCACAATAACTTTCTAAATATTTTAGCAAATCGCATGTTCTTGAAATCATGTATGATGCACGAAATAAAAAACTATCCCTTTTAATTTACATAAATTTAATAATTAAATTTTCTCTTATTAATTAAATTGCTAGCCATACGGTTCAAATAGGCAAATTATAAATATGTTAATTAATATGTGAAAGCAATATTTTTAGTGAGGAAAGTAAACGCAAAAACATATTTTTACGAAAAACATTATTTTCCAACAGATTTCTGTTTTAATCCTCCAAATATATATGGTCTTGAAAATATTGTCAGAACAATATTGTTTAAAGCAATAAAAGTTTGAATCCCTTAATTCTTAGTTTACTATTTGCGAATATATTTGAAGCTGCTTAAGCGAATTAAAAACTTTTTGCACATAATTAAGAAACTTCGTTGTTCAAAGATAACAAAATTATTAAAAGGATATATTTCTTTAATAATTTTAATTTTTTAATTTGTAATTCATTGATGATCTAACAAATTGTTAATAATAAAGATCAAAATTTAAACGAACTCAGTTAAATACTATTTAAGCTACAGAATTCCCAAAAAGGTTGATTTTAAAATTGTGAACAAAAAATTTTATATTTGCTTAATTTGTTCCGTATGCGCAAGAAATCTAATTAATAGTAAAGTGCTAAAACTTTCAACAGTTTTCCGTACTAAACTATAGGGACTAAATAACCTAACCCCAATCAATTTATAAAAACTCCAGTCCCTTCTTAAGTAATTCTGAATCTCATTTTTTAATTTAAAATATTGTCTGTACTATTTAATTAGCATATTTAATCCCTTGAACATTGAGTAGTGCTTGTTAGGGCGGCTCTTAACTAGATGCTATTTTCGAATGTTAAAATTTTCTGTTCCAATTCCCACATTTTGTTCCAAGAAACAAAAATTAAGGAGCTTCAAAGAATAATTTATAAGGAATTAAAATATGAGAACACAAAGTTTAGAAAAAACAAGAACTCATGGTTTGCAAAGATAAAAAAAATAGTTTTGGTGCAAAATATATCTGCCTTGATGATTTATTCTTCATTATTGTCTGTTGCTGAAATAATGTTAG